TGCAAAGCACTGGTGGGGCAGCATCAGCATCCCCTCCTGCTCCCGTGCTCCGAGAGCTTCCCTTGCAGATAGGGGATGCTCGCAGGGTGTGCCTGGTGCCCGGGGCTGTGTGGCTGGGGGTTGTTGCCACACCTGGTAGATCTGTGTTACTGGACCTGTTGGCCGTGCCCATCCATGGTTTGAATGCCAGCTATGCCCACTAGCAGCAAGCTGTCTGCTTTTCTCTGGAGCCTGGTGGGACAGAGGACTTCAAACTGAAGCTGTAACAAGTCAGCTCACAAGCCATGTGGTTACGGTTATGCTGAGCTGAAGGTTAAATCTGGAAGGTGTCGGTGTGTGCATCATTCCTCTTTCACTGAGTGTCCTCTGGGTACAAGTTGGTTCCTAAGGGTGTGTGTGCATGTGCACACGTATGTTTGACGTGCCCCCACACGCTCCCAGCAGCTTTTTGTAAATGAAAAGTTAAATCATGGTCAAGCATAGCAAAAATGTTTAAAGTGGTTGTGTAAATGTCACTTTTTGTTCTTAGTTGGTAGCTTCCTTTCTTCCCACTGCCTTTTGTTCTCCTAAATAATTAAAACATGTTCAAATTATTTTCTATTTCTTTGTGACTCTCCTTGTTTTCACCTGTGAATACTTCGGTGCAGATAGCTATTCCATTCCCACTCTTCTAACCTGTTCTTTTTTTCCCCTTCTTAGGGAGTTAATTTGGTAGGGGAGAAAGCATAGCTGATTGACAGCTTTGAAAACATCAAGTAAAATGAATCTAGTTAACTGAGTTGAACTAAAACATGACTGCTTGAAAGAAGCTTGCAAAAGATTTGAAAGACCTGTTGATGTGAGCAGGAGGGGTTTCAGGGAGCTGTAATGCCTTAAGCCAACCTCTGGGATCGCCTTCAAGCTGACATCTATCAGCATTTGTAGAGCTGACTGAACCCCACTCCTTTTAAAGATTTAGGAGCCTTAATCCCTCTGCTGGATCAGATGGTAAAACAGATATTAGAGGTAGATTTCGAAAGTAGTGTTTGGGGGATTTCACTGCATCAGAGTTTTGCAGAGGAATTGAGTACTCAGTAAAAAGCCATTGTGGCTTGTATTACATTGAGCACTTCCTTTCAGGAGACTACAGTCCCTTCTAGCAAAAATTCTCCATTTGAGAGTCAAGAAGTGTTTTGTTTTTGCCTTTCAACTCTTTGTTGACACACCTTCAGTAGAAGGGGCTTACTAAGAAATCAGGTGTTGCCTGATGGTAGCTGGTGTGTGTATTGTGATACTGAATTACCAGCCAGGGTGCCAAGAGTGGGTAATACAGTATGTCTGCACAGGCAGGTGGGGAGAGCAGAGCTGCAGGCACTGGAACATTTGCATCTTTCATTTTAAAATGTATTATTAAGCAAAATGCTAAATTTCTGACAGGCAGCAGTCAAACTCCAAGGAAAAGTCCAATGCCAAAGCTCTTTCCTCTCCCTCTTGAGTAGATAGCACATTTTCAGGCTCAGCTCTTTTGTTTTAAATGGCTTTCACGTCTGTACTCTGGTGGAAGTGGTGCTGCACTCCTCAGGCTCCTCACAGCTTTGTTCCTACTGCTAGATAATGGTTGTTGTCATCTTGTGACCTGATAGGCTTTTTGTTTGGTCAAACTCATTTTTTATATTGCTACTCCTAATTAACTTAGTTTTCCTGCTCAAGTGTGTTGATTAATAGTCATGCTTTGGGTTTCTGGGAATTGCTCACGATCTTAGCCCTCATACAGTGAGTGTCAGTTCACAGCAAAATGGTGAGCGGGGGGACGGTCACCTCCTGCAGGGTGGGGTGGGGTGGCACCACTGAGGAGCAGCACCTGTGCCAAGAGGGTGATCCTTGCTTTCAGGCACCATCTGAGTGCACAGGCAGCTTCTACCTTGGGTTTTCTTTCTGAAGTGCCTTTGCTTTGAAATCTATATACAATATCCTGTCTTCCTCTGTGGATATAGCGACTATCACTGATCCAGGACGAAGTCACTATGACCTAGTTGTTGGCATCTATTTATGCCAGTAAATGGCTGTGCATCAGGTTACTCCTGGTTGCAGCAAAGTTGGCGGGGTGGGGAAACTCAAGCCCGTCTCTGTCTGACAGCAGGTACCCCGTGGACAGATTTACACCGGTGTTAAATGACTGTCCCTTCAGTGATTACATGCTCACAGGCAGCTGTGCCTGGGGTAGATGTGAAATCATGGCTCTGTGCCATGTCCCCAAGCCCTGTGCAGTGCCTGTGAGGCTTGAACTCCTCTTGCAGTCAGGTGACAAAAAGGCAGCTCAGCCCCCATTGCCTCTTTTGACTCTGCCGGGCACTGTCACTAAATCTTCCCACGTCCTGACTGTGCTCTGAGGCAGAGGTGGGCTCCTGGGTACCTCCTCTCCTGACATGCCAAGTTCAAGTTGTTGGCTAGAACCTGCAGCTCTTGAGTCTGCCCTGCATTTCTTTGTTGGATGGGCTTGTTCATCATAACCCATTAACTCTTGGCTGTTTGCTTTCTGTGAATTTGGGGTGTAGGTCCAATGCCTTCCTTGCTGATTGTAGCCAAAGGGGTCCAGCAGTTGGGGTGCCAAAGGGTGGATGAAGAGCAGATCCCTGTCTCTGCTCACAGAGGGGCTGTGCTGTCTGATCACAAGCCTCAGTCTCAGTATTTGTGCTGGTTTTGTGTACATCTCAGTCCTTCTGAAAGCAGTGATTTTTGGTTTTCCCCTTCCTTGTAACCCCAGCTTTCCGTCTTTGAAGATACTATATGTAAAATTACAGTCAGCACCAGGAGTCCTGATCAGTGACTGAGGGTGTGTATCTCTTTCCATTTGTTCAATTCTCTGGATGCCTGCAGACACTGGACACGTTGCCTCCTGGCATATGCCATGCCCTCTGTGCACCCCTACTCTTCAATATTTATCTTTGCATTTCAGCCCATCACCTTTGGGTGCCCAATTCTTTATGCTTCAGTGATGTTAAGGCATCCAAGTGATTAGTTGGCTTTTTGAGATTTTTGAGGCTTTCTGTCCTTGAAACCTTCACAGTGCTATGAGCAAACTGATGTGTTGAAGAAAACCATGCTTTACAAGTTTTCTTCCTTTTTAAATATAAGTGATTCTTTTTCTACTTTTTGAGATGGAAAGACAACATGGTGAGCTCACTCTTACCTTCAGTAAGGAATTGCTTTTTAATTAAAAAACAATAAGGAATTTCAGGTTTAAAAGATATATGATACAAATCACCATCTAGATGTGTTTCGCAACTTTTTTTTTGTAATTGTTTGGCATGTTCCCCGTTTCCGCAGGCTGGGTAAATCCTTTGTGGGCTTAATCTCTAGCCTGCAGGCACATAAAATACATTGCACAATTTGGCCTTTGCATTTTAAAGAAATCTTTTTTTGTATCTTAAATACCTGTAGCATCTTTTCTGCCACATGGCAGGATGGTGTTGAGTGAGGAGGGAAGGGACTGGCTTGGCTTATGTTTAATCCCTCTCTCCTACCCAGTGTCTCTTGCAAGTTTGGTTTTTCCTATGTTAGCAGTGTGTACACTCTGAAATGCAAATAATCCCCGACTATCACTAGCTAATCCTTTTCCTGCTGCATCATCTGCCACCCACCCTTCCACGCGCTGGCTCTCCCTGTCCCAGTGGGTCCATGGCCACAGGGTGCTCCTGACCAGTATGAACCTGTCACTGCTGTGTTTGAACAGCTGGGAACGGGGCTCTATTGGCCCAGGGCTCCTAGAGACCTTTTCCTGTGAGGAAACAACCACCTTGGGGCTTTCACTTTTCTTTGTCTGCAAGAGCTGAGGACATGGAGATGGGGAAATGCCAGCAATTCCTGTGGGCTAGGTTGTTACAGGGAGAGCTCTGCACTCAAAAATGTCTGAATACCAGGAGAAAACTGAATGCCTCTGGAGCAAGGTTCTGAAAAACCTGCTGTGTTTTGGAACAGCCTTACACAGGAGGGGAGACTAGACAGTCTCCTTCATGGGAGGTATCCAGCAAAATGGGTTTAGGTTCTACAATACTGAACCACTTGGGAGTAAGCAGATGCCTTTATTTTGGTGAGGGATTTTGAAAAGAAACCACCAACTTCAACCTTGATTTTTTGCTGAGTTAAGGTTTCCAGATGTGAACACACTCCATGAAAATGCTGCATTAGTTTACTGTTGTAGTGGAGAACATCTTAAGAGAAATCTAATATGCTCCAAATTAACACAGTGAATAAGAGCATCTTGTTCTGTTCCAAGCTCATTGCATGGGCACAACCTCCCTTTTGGAACCAGCTGCTGGGTTATGCTCTAGGTTTTGGTCACTGTGGGCTGGTCTTTGGGCTGCTCAACTCTTGTGGCCTTTAAAAAACAAAGCATTTTATTTACCTCATTTTTGGATGTAATGATTTGAGTTCAGAAGTGAGGGGATTACTACAGAGATGTAGGAGATGATTTTAAAAGATGGCTGAAATGTCAGACTTGGTATAACTCTCAAATTGATCAGGGTGTTGTTTTCGAGTACTGTTCAGTTCCACGGTTGGTGTTTTTATTTAATCCCTCTGCAAGAGTAGGAGGGCTTCTTAGAAAACAGGATGAAACACTTTTATGTCTGTGGTTTTGAGTGCTTCCAGGATTACAGGATGCTGTGAAAAGAATAGCATCTGTTTTGTTAGGTGGGTGTTGGGTGTCCTTTGCAAGAGGGAGTGTGTGCCCAAGAGAAATAAAGGCTTTATTTGTTCGAGTAAATGAAGTGCTCTTTATCTGAAGATTTCTGCCTTTGGGGAAGCTAGGATGTAGATTTATGCTCTGCTATTTTACAGCAGGTAAAGGTCTAGGAGTTTTGTCATTTCTCTGGAAGCATGGTTGTTGTACAAACAAATGCAGTGCCTGTGCACCAGTGGCTGGTGCTTTCAATTACATGTACAAAGCCATCTCCATGTTCCTGGTGTGCCTTCATCCCTAGCTGAACTTCTGACTCTCTTTTGCTCTGTTCCCCATTCAGTATTCCACCGAACTGAAAAAGCTGTACTGCCAGATCGCCAAGACATGTCCCATCCAGATCAAAGTGATGACCCCACCGCCTCAGGGAGCTGTCATCAGGGCTATGCCAGTCTACAAGAAAGCTGAGCACGTCACTGAAGTGGTCAAACGCTGCCCGAACCATGAGCTGAGCCGGGAGTTCAACGAGGGTAAGGAGGGCAGTGCTGTGCTGGCAGTCCCTCTGCAGAGCTACTTGGCTGATGAGCAGCCACTGAGGGATGTGACAGCAGCTTCAGAGCAAACCTTCTGGAAACAGACCTCCCTGTGACACCTTGTGCAGCTTTTTATTTCCTGTGCTTGGCAGGAAGGATCATGCCATCAATGCTTTAGCTGCCCCTGTGCACGCTCGTCCTTGGGAGGAAAGCACTGAAATAAACCTCGTGCCTGCCCAGGTCGGATGGATGTCTGTCCCCGTGGCAGGCACTGCCCCTCTGGCAGCCCTTCTCTGCTCTGCTTTTGCTCCTGCAATGAGAAGCAGCTGTTCTTGTGCTCAGGAATGAGCTTCCATGTGGCTGGGACAGGGATCTAGTAACAGGATGCAATATCATCTCCATCCTTAATCCATGCCTCAGAGACGGAGGGGCTGTTTATCTCTGGCAGGGAAATGCTAAGTGCCAGCATCAACTGTAGGGAACGTTCTTCTACATGTAACACTCCCAGTTCAGTATAAATGTTTTAATCTTTTACTTGCTTCTCCTCATGTTGGTGAAGTAGCAGCTGTTTTTAAAATGTCCTTTGGTTTTCTGCAAGCTCACGGGCTGGGTTCCATTTTGCCTTGGTCATTTAAGTTCACGTAAGTTCAGATGAGCATCTGTTTTATTCTACATACATTATTTATCTCCTACTGTAAAAAAACCCGGTTGGTGTCAGTTAGCAGCATGTCTTAGGAGTCTGGATCCCATTGCTGGTTACAGTGCAGCCAGATAGACAAGCCCCAGAAATAAGCAAGGACTTGGGAGTGTAAAATTAGAGTGGAGCAAGACAGTTCTTCAAAATGGTTTTTTATATTAAAAAGTGCTTTTCTGATAGGACTGGATTTATTGAGGTTTGACACCATTCAATAATGTTTTAAGAAAGAATTTATAGGATTTTTTTCCTTATTCTGAAATAATTATTTCTGTAGAAATAGGCTGTATTTTGAGTAGGAAATGAACAGTTAATACCCAGAACAAATTCTTCAGATGAACCCATAGCAGGCTCCTCTCCTCAGAATTTAGTTGCATGTTGTAGAAACACTAAAGATAATTTGTAGGAAGGAAGCTTTTAATTATTGGATAGTGGCCTAGGAACCAAGAAGATCATGTTCCCTTCTGCTGCTGCTGTAAGCAAGCATGATTTTTCAAGCTGACCATTAATTAAATGCATATTTCTTTTGCTTCTTGGTTCTTTGTTTTTTTTAAGGCTTAAGACTAATGAAAGGGAGCAGAAGAGGGCTAGCAACTGATAGGAAAATGAGTAGGAATTGAGACTTGAAGTAATTTGCTTTGTATATGCATTAGAGGGAGGAAAATAAAGGCTTTCAGCTGGTGTGAAAATCCAGCAGGAGTTATCTGCTGGAAGAACTGCTGTGAGCTGCCATTCAGTTCACATTTTGGCTCACTTCTTCTGGGATCTTGGGAAGCCCTTGTTCAAGTTTAGCCACAGGTGTCCAGAGTGAGCTTGGGAAAGCCTGTGTTGCCTTTGGTGTCTGGCGGCAGGGATCTTGGGAAGGGATGCTTCAAGGGCTGAGAGGCACCTGTGTGTGCTCTGATGGACCTCTGGGGCCACGTGCATCTCCCTTGATGGTAGATCTTACCACCCTGTGCATGATCTTACTGAACAGTCTCTTGTTTTTTTCCTCTTTGCCTTTTCAGGGCAGATTGCACCTCCCAGCCACCTGATCAGAGTGGAAGGGAACAGCCATGCCCAGTATGTAGAAGACCCCATCACTGGGAGGCAGAGTGTGCTGGTCCCCTATGAGCCACCCCAGGTATGTTGTGAGCTCGAGCTGGTGCCATCCTGGCATGCAAGGGTTGGGAGTTGTAACCCTGGTCAAAGGAGTTAGGATCTTGGGCTTTCCCTATCCTCATCACAATGAATCCCTTCTTCCTTTCTGTCAGAAATGAGCTGTGAAACCCTCCTTATCCCTTTTAAGGAAGCTTTGTACTGGGGGCCTATTTCATGCTGGTCCACTTGCAGCCCAACTTGGGAAATGCAAGAGAAGGGCTTGGAAAAAGCAGAGCTTTCCATCCACCACCTCTTCCTCTCCACCTTTGTCTCACCAGGTCGGTACTGAGTTCACCACAGTCTTGTACAACTTCATGTGCAACAGCAGCTGCGTTGGCGGGATGAACCGCCGCCCAATCCTTATCATTGTGACCCTGGAAACCAGAGAGTAAGTTGTGCATCATGACTGTAACCCTTCTGGCTCCTCTTCCACTTAGGACAGCATTCCATATCCTTAGAACAGCGAAATTCAAGGGGCTGTAGGATATTTTTTAGATCTTTGCAGCTGGGAGTTGCCCAGCGCTTGGGAAATGGCAGGTGCAGAGTGTGGTGTGGCGTTGAGGAGAGCTGCTGGCCTGTGTCTGAGATGCCAGCTGATGTTTCCCGTCACCTCTGTTCGCAGTGGGCAGGTCTTGGGCCGGCGGTGTTTCGAAGCCCGTATCTGTGCTTGCCCAGGCAGAGACCGTAAGGCAGACGAGGACAGCATCCGCAAGCAGCAAGTGTCCGACAGCACAAAGAATGGTGATGGTACGAAGCGCCGTAAGTAGCTGCACAGCTGGGCAGAGGGGGCTGTCTCTGGGTGCTTGTGCCACAGGGACAGAGTGGTGCTGTGCATGGCCTTGCAGGCAGGAGGGCATTAGGCATCTGTTCTCCCAGGGTGAATCAGCCTAGAAATTGAGCTGGTGTTCACAAAGCAGTGTTTGACAGTCTGGGTGTGTGGGCTCCCTTGCAGCATTGCTGGTGTTAGATTCGCCCTTCCATGGTGAGTGGAGGGGGTGTTTATTTGCCACCTTCCAATTGTATGTCTGGAACTCTAACCTTTTGAACCTTCACTGCTTGTTTGGGGTCGTGCTGTTATTCTTTGCTTTATCTAGCCAGTGTTCTGTGCTGTGGCAGGTGTCTTCCAGCCACAGGGATCTAGACTGAGGCTGCACACAAACCCTGCTGTGCATCACAGACACCCTGGCAAGCAGCCTCTGTGTGCTCTGAAGGGAGCCAAGTCCTCGCTGGTCATGCAGGGTGTGGAAATCCACCTTTGGTTTCCCCTGTACTCAGTGTAGGCAGCAGGCTGAACAGCAGGCACAGGTTATGACTGGAGGCAGACTAGAGAGGAGCTGTTTTCTCAGTGAGTTCTGCTTCCCTGCAAATGGTCTCACCTTCATGAATCACTAGTTCACCAACAATTTGTGAGCCTTGTAGTACCAAAACTTGCTGTAATTTTCCTGTCAAGAGCCAGCACTTGTTCAAAGTGTGGCTTGCCAGGGTTTTGTCATATACCCAGCACTCCTTGGCTGATGAGTTTCCCCAAGTGACATGGCCAGCCAGCATCTGCAATTGTGTCTGCCTTAAGGAGCCTGGAGCTGCAAGGACAGTTCTGGAGTGGCTCAGGCAGAGATCCCTTCAGAGCACTGCAGATCTGAGCTGGTCATGCACTTCATATCTCTTGTATCTGTCTTTTTGTCTTTTTCTTCTTTGTATGCTCCTCTCCTCCCTCTCCCCACCTCTTTCTTTTTTGGTAATGGGATGTGTTTTGGGTTTCTCTTCCAGCTTTTCGACAAGGAACTCATGGCATACAGATGACATCTATCAAAAAAAGACGTTCCCCAGATGATGAGCTCTTGTACTTGCCAGTGAGTTCTCTCTCTTTTTACTTACCCTATGTTTAGCATCTTTAATGGTGACTTGATGTTCACCTAGGCGTCAGAAAGACCTGAGGATGGGGTTGGGGTGTGAAAGAATAATTTTTATTTTCTTTAATTCCATGAACTACTAATTTTAAATACATATTCCAAATAAAAGATATTAAAAATCCCACTAGGTGCTGAGAATGGTTTATGCAAGGCATATGAGAATATCCCAAGGGATCTCTCTGTCCTGGTGGAAACACTGTCTTCAAGATATAACTAGGTTTCCTCCTCTGTCATTTCTGGGTCTGTGGTACATGACCTTTCTCTAGAAAACTGATAGGTGGATGCTTCTGTGGCTTTTATGTGTATTGCAATTGTAATGCAGTGATAGAAGTGAAATATGCTGTATTAAGTGCAGACCCAGAAAGGGCAAGAAATATCTCTAATTGGCCATTTAGCTCCTTCCCATGAGCCATGTTTAGTTGCTTAAATCACAAGTCATGGTGTGCTTGGAGAAGAAGGGAGAGCCAAACCCAGCTCCCAAATTTATGTGCTGTCTTTTCTGAGGGCATGTAAGATTCAGCACCAGATCTGCTTACATCTGAGGCAAGTAAAGACATTTTCTCTCTAAATAGGTTGGATCAGAATGTTGCTTTTGGCTGGCATAGATTCACACTGAGCCATATGACAACCCCAAGATGTTCATCAGCCTGCAGTGTGAGATTATCACTCTTCAGCATTATTTGCTGCACCTCTAGAACAAAGCTAGCATTTTTATTGTGTGAGCATACAGTATAAACAGATTAGTTGCATCCTGCTCTGGTTGTTTAATTGACATTTTGAAGACTTTCTAAGGTGACTGTCAATAAGGTCTATAAATGCAGTCCTTTAAAGCTTTTCTTTCCCCCCAATCCCTGTCCTTTTCCTGTCACCCAGGTGAGGGGACGGGAGACCTACGAAATGCTGCTGAAGATCAAAGAGTCCCTGGAGCTGATGCAGTTCCTTCCCCAGCACACAATTGAGACCTACAGGCAGCAGCAGCAGCAACAGCACCAGCACTTGCTCCAGAAGCAGTGAGTACCAGTGTGCTTGCAGTGTCAGTGCAGTGGGGAGAGAGGAGAGAGACACAGAAGGCTTCTGCACAGGTGTTCAAAGGGACATGGTGCTCAGCTGAGGGCTGGGCAGTGGACAAAGCAGTCCTGCTTCCCCCAGTGTACATCCTGACTGCTGGCCAGGTCCCTCTCTAGTCTTTAATCTCACATATTACAACTTCTGGCCCTAGAAGGTGAATGAGGATGGGCTCAGTGCCTCATCTGACTTCCAGCCAGAGCCCAAGGCAGAGCCATTGACATCCTGTGGTCAGAAACCTGCTGTGTGTGCCCATCCCAGCTGGGGAATGGCTGCACTCCTGTCCCATTGCTCATGGGAATGGCAGCAAACATGAACCATCTCCAGTGCCTTCTCCAGGGTATCCATCTGACCACCTTGCTAAGAGTGTCTAGAGCTGGGACTGTGAGCACGAGCTCAGCTGAGCTGTGCATTGGAGGGCTGGTGTTTCAGTGGTACAACACTACTTCAGGTTGTTCAGCTCAACTACTGAACTGCCTACAACAGGCAGCTGAAAGTCGAGAGCAAAGCTGAAACACAAAAAATTTCCTTTGCAGCTAGTGGGTACTTCAAAAAAAGATTCTATACACAATTTTGAATTATTGTCACAAACTGCCCTTTGCCAGATGACTCTTCACATTGCTCATGAGAAATTTTCCATCCTTTCTGAGCTCAGCTGGCAGGGATTGCTCTGGGTGCTGTAAATGTGAGGAGGATGGGGAAAAGAAAGGCCAGATAGGTGTCTGGGTTCCCAAAGCTTTGCAGTCAGAGGCTTGGGCAGAGAATGACTTCCCAGGCTGCAGTGAGCAGTGTCATTCATGGGCATTGCTTCACCTGCTGTCTGGGGTGACAGCAAATGGCCCCGGGCTGTAGGTGGCTGCCAGTGGCAGTGCTGGGATCTCGTGTCAGGAGGCTGTGGGTATAACTCATTCCTCTGCAGAGGTTAGTGTGGGGCCAAGGCACCACATAAGTCCCACTTGAGCCTGTAGGGATTTATTTCAATGCCTTGGCCTTGTCTCAGGACTTCTGCAATACCACAGCTTTCTGCCAGATCTCTGCATGTGTTCACATTTTGGCCTGTGTGTTTTTAGTGTCAGCTGGAGTCTTGTGGAGGTGTGAGAAAAGCCTTCTGCCAAAACGTCTGGAGCATCCAGGGGCTCTGGACTCTTTTTTTGGGGCATTTAAAAATCTCATTATTGTTATTTACTTTTATCAGTCATTTGCCCTGTTTGTGTATACTATAGCTTGTATTTACTAGCTCCTAGGCATTGTGGCATTTGTGTGCTCTACTGCTTGTCTTCAAAGCTTCACCTGAACCACAACCATTTCAGCTGAGAAATGGTTTTGTAAGCAGAAATGGACAGCAGCAGATGACAGCTTTCCCTTGGTGCTGACAGTTGGCTTTGCCATAATTACTTTTTTCATTCTTTCTATATCAGTAGAATAGGTTCCTGGCAAATGAGGTTGGAATTTGTGTTACCTTTAAGACCAGCATGTAGAACTTCAGTAGTCATTTAATTTAATGAAACTTCTTTTGGCATGTCTCCTGGCACTTGTCCAGTTATATACTCATTTTTCTCAGTTGCTGAGTGTGCTCATGCAGGGGAGAAAGATTAAGAGCTTTAAAGGGTGCCAGGAGCACGGAGAAGAATAACTTAAAGTATTTGTCCAGAGCTGCTGCAGTTGTCTCTGTCCACAGCCTGCCATCAAGCAGTGTCCTCTGTGCTGAAATGCATATTCAGGCAGTTTGTTAGGTGCACTTTGGGTTTTGGTGCTTTTTCTTTAGTAATCCATGGTATGACTTAATATCTGAAGGAATGTGTTCAGGACAAAGGGATGTTCAGGCTGAAAAGACTCTAAGATGCAATTGCACCTCAAAAAAGGAGCCTCAGGTCTCAGTGTGAGAGTGGGGAAAGCAGCTGCTTTGTAGGGCTTGGTTGGGATAAGAGCAGCCTTGCATGAGAGCAGGTTGCTGGGAGATGTCTTGCCACTGCTTCCTTGTCAGAGTGGCCAAACTCAGGAGCACAGGGGCTCCTTTTTGAGTCTGTTCTGGCCTTTCACTTTGTATGCAGGGATGTACTTTGAAGTTTTGGTCCCAGTTCATGTTTGGTCACTTTCCCATGTGAAAAGTGGGAGCTGGGAAACTGTGTATGCTGTGAACAAGGTGGAATGTGCTGGAAGCTGTAGATCCTAGCAGGGCTCTGTGGGAATGGAATGCTTGAAAGTTTCCTTTGGTTCTTCCTTCTCAAAATGGAGCAGCATCCACATGTGCTCCAGAGTCACACCTTGGTGGAGAACTGCTGGATTTTTCAGTTTATTTTTTTGGGGCAGTGGTAAACATAGAGAAGCTATCCAGGTGTGTGGAAAGAGTTTTCCCTGTAACTCCTACAACATGGAAACTTCATCTTTTTTGAAGAGTAGGAAAAGTAAGGTTGAGATGATCATGGTGAAAGATAGCTTTAAAAATATAAATCTGTCATTTTGGAAAGCAATTGTATAATGGTTCTCATGCACATACAGACCAGCATGGCATTTGACAGGCCAGCAGATGCAGCTGTCTGACTGTTCTGGAATAGGAAGGACAAATCTGGTGACAATCAGCATTCTTGTGTCCCACTAGTTGACCAAAGTACTGCAATGCTCCACATTGTGCCAGACCACAATATTTCTCTGTCTCATCTCCTCTCTCTGCTTGCTCCTTTGTGCATGGTTTTCTCCTATTTACTGTTATGTCAAATACCTTCATGATCATAGGTGGCAAGTTGTTGGGATTTTTGTGTTCAGTTTCTATTCTTCCTTTTTCACTGTCAAATCCTGGGGCCCTTACTTGAACTGCAGCACACACATTTATTTAGAAGAGTTCATAGTCTGCTACCATTTGTGTAAAACATAGATTTGCCAGATGATTACTGCTGCAAGAGAGATCAGAGGTGGCTCATGCTTTGGGGAGGGAATGTTTCCTCATTACCCTGCTGTGAAATATGTTTGCCATCAATATTTCCACAGAGCTACCTGCACAGTCTTTAAGGGTTTCATTAGGAAACACCTTTTCATGTAGTGGGTTTCACTCTGCTGAGCACTGTTTTCAAAACTATCTGTATTTCAATTTCCTACAGCAGAGAATTACAAAATATTTCAAATTGGAAGAGACCCATAAAGTTCATAAGGAACACCCAGCCCAACTTCTGTGATTGAAGGGTTTTCACAAAGTCTTCCAATGGCTACCAAGAAGGGGGCTCTTACATCCAAGTGGGATCTTGTACCCCAGCAAAGATTTCTTTCCTATCAGCAGGGCTGCAGCTATGAGCCCACTGGCTGCCTTTCAGTCTAGTGAGCAGCACAACTCACTATCCAAATGAGAAGGAATTAACCTCATTAGTGAGCTGTGGCAGAACTGAGCTATCTAATGCCTGGAGTGCTCCAGCTGAGCTGCGAGGATCCCAGTGCTTGCTGTTGTGGGAAGGGGGCTGGTGGGGAAGGCATTCTTTGTACCTTCACCTCATTAATCTCACTTTTGGTGTGAAAGCTAACAGTGGATTTTGCATGATCTGGTTTGGTTTTGTGGTGCTGTGCTTGCATGTGAACTCCAGGTAGCTGGATAGTGTTCTCACTACAGAATGGCCAAGATGAAAGGAACCAGGTAGAAGTGCTTTATGGGCTCTGAGGATGCAGTGCCCTCTGCATCAGCTGGTGGCCCCAGGGACCCCTCAGCTTCTCAGAGGAGAAGAGTTGAGCTGTAGTCAGTATGGCCAATAGGCACTGTTCTCCCTCTCTAGCACCAGCTTCTGGGTTTGAAGTGATTGTAGTTAGAAGTGGACTCAATGGAAGCTGCTACTCCTTTTCCTCTTTGAGTGCTTTTATTCCTCCTAGATTTGTCACTGGAAACATTATCGGGGCCTTATTTGTACCCATGAGACTAGGACAGCATCAGGTTTCTCTATCAGCTGGTTGTTCTCCCTTCCTTGCCAAGCACTTGCTTGTGCCTGGGGCTTTCCAGCTTCCTAAATCTCCCTGTTACATACCCTCCCTGTAGGTGCTAAGACATCTGCTTTTTCCCTCTTTGAAAGCCCATACTGTGATCATGAAGGTGAAAAGTAACTGTTTCTCTCTTGGTGGCTGGCAAAGGGTCCTGTACATTCATCTTTTTCTTTTCTCTGGTTCCTTCTTTACAGTCTCCTTTCGGCCTGCTTCAGGAGTGAACTCATGGACTCAAGGAGAGACCCTCCCAAACAGACCGATGCCATCCTAAAACATTCCAGCCCCCCAAACCCATCAGTATATCCCTAAACTGAGCTGGCAGGGTCACTCTGCCCAGCTGGCAGGACTAGGAGCAGTGGGGCAAACACACAGCCTGATAGCAGCAGAGTGAATAGTGAGAGTAAACTTCTGAAGGGACTCAAACTTTGCAAAAACAACAGACACTTGTACAGACCTCTTAGCTGTAACCCATAGCCTTGTGAGGTTGGGAACCACAATTTCGTCTGTCTTGGTGTAACTTTTCTCCCCTTGGTGTAACATTTTTGTAATGTGTTAATACTCTTTCTTCCTACTTCTGTATTTGTGAAACTCAGCAGGGTTTCTCTGAGCAGGTCTCAATTTTAAAATGCCTTTTGTCTTGTTTAAGTTAAAAAAATGTGTCCATGGACTGGGGGGATGGAAGCAGAGGATATGTGTTTAAATGGTCTGTGATAGTCAATTTGGCCTGTTTCAGTGCTGGTCATGCACTAGTATAAGTAGATGATGTATTTTGTACTGCTGGACAGGGAGAGGTAATAATTATATGAACTGGCACTGCTAAGAAATCTTTTTTTCTGCAGAAAAGCTCTCAACTTTGGCATCATGAGTTGTTTCCACTTATTTCCAACCCTAAAGGGTCTGATGTAAAGTACATCAGAATTGTAAGGAAGGCAGAGTGATTTTGACTTTGCACCAGCTCTGCTGACTTTGATCCAGCTTTATTGAACTT